ATTATTGTAGCTATGTCTTCTGGTGTTCATATTTCTAAATTGTACATTATTCTATTCTAATATATCATGATTTGTCAAATTTACAAATTATATGTTGACTTCCAGTTATGACATGTGAGAATTTATCTCTCTTACTTTGTCTCTCCTACCTCCTAAACTACCTGTCTTCTATTTTTATAGCACAATTTTTGTTGAATTGATATTTAGTGTTTATATTGTTATGATTATGTAGATATTCACTGCTGAGCCAACTAGGTATATTAAGATTTTATTTTTTTTTATTGTACAATTTTTTCCTTAATTTTATATAATGGAAAATTAAAAATATATCAAAGTAGAGAATGGTATAATGAACCAAATATACTCATTACCAGCTCCAACAATTTATCAATATGTGTCCAATCTTATTTTCTCTACACTCTCATCTACTTTCTACCTTTGGATTCCTTTGAGGCAAATTCCAGACATCCTATATAACAAAGAGGTAATATGCAAATTGACCGTCACTCCAATACACAAGATGGCCAGCCCATGTGGTCAAAAACGGCCACCCTCATATGGACACAAGATGGCTGCCACAAGATGACCGGCAGGGGAGGGCAGTTGTGGGCAATCAGGCCGGCTGGGGAGGGAAGTTGGGGGGGTACCCAGGCCTGCAGGGGAGGGAAGTTGAGGGCGACCAGGCCAGCAGAGGAAGGCAGTTAGGGGCAGTCGGGCCAGCAGGGGAGGTCAGTTGGGGGTGACCAGGTCATCAGGGGAGGGCAGTTGGGGGCAGCTAGGCCTTCAGAGGAGGGCAGTTAGAGGCAACCAGGCCTGCAGGGGAGAGCAGTTAGGGGCTACCAGGTTTTTAAAGGAGGGCCTTTGGGGGTGACCAGGCCGGCAAGGGAGGACAGTTAGCGGTAACTAGGCTGGCAGGGGAGCAGTTAGGCATCAATCAGGCTGGCAGAGGAGTGGTTAGGGGTGATCAGGCTGGCAGGCAGAAGTAGTTAGGGGCAATCAGGAAGGCAGGCAGGTGAACGGTTGGGAGCCAGTAGTCCTGGATTGTGAGAGGGATGTCCCAGATTTGAGAGGGTGCAGGCTGGTCTGAGGGACACCACGCCCTTCCCCCCACCCCTTGCATGAATTTCACACACCAGGCCTCTAGTTATATTATAAAAAACTAGAGGCAGGGTGCATGAAATTTGCACAGAGGGGTATCCTTCAGCCCAGCCTGCACCCTCTCCAATCTGGGATCCCTCTCACAATCCAGAACTACTGGCTCCCAACTGCTTGCCCCCAACTGCCCCCTCCTCCTAGCCATCTTGTGGCAGCCATCTTGTGTCCTTATGGGGGCAGCCATCTTGTGTTTTGGAGTGATGGTCAATTTGCATATTACTCTTTTATTAGATAGGATGTAAACACTGTACTTGAGTGTGAATTCTAAAAGAAAGGACTTAATTTTTAAATGTAACCCCATAGTAGAAATAAATATTTATCCCATAATATCATCAAACATCCAGTAAATGTTCAGATTTTATGTTGATTTATCTCATAAATGGTTTGATTTTTATGGTTGGTTTTTTTCAAATCAGTAGACAGATTGTGTTTAATTAACATGTCTCTTCAGTCTCTCTTAATTTGTAAGTAATCCCTCTTAATTTATTTTTTGTCCTTGTAATTTATTTTTTGAAGAAACTGTTTTATTTTCCTGTGGAGATTCTCTCATTCTGGATTTTGCTGATTGAATCCCCATGATGTCACTTTTTACCCTGTCTCCTGTGTTTCCTATAAACTGGTGGATCTGGTGTGTTGATTAGATTTAGGTTGTTGTTTTTTGGTGTGATTGTTTTTGTGAATATGTGTCTCATGGGCTCTCTTTTGGTGATGTTAAGATTGAAGAGTGGATTCAGGTGTCATCAGCCTTTTCACAATCATTAAAAAGTTCCCTCAAACTTGTCACTTACTGGTTTTAGCAGTTATTAATAATCACTGTCTAGATCCATTATTTCATGAGGGTTTGGAATGCATTGATATTCTGAGTCTATCATGCCCTCTTCATTTGTTTTGGTATCATTATGAACGCAGGGACTATTAATATAATTGATGTTTCAGTCTACGCAGGTACTATTTTTTGGTACTCAAATTGTTCTATCTTTGGCCATTTGGAACCTCTTTAAGTTGCCTCAGAGCCCTAGATGGCTCTGTTAGTTCTGGAATGATAATTCTAGCCCATCTAAGACTATTTTCTGCCTTAGACTTTCAGTCATCCATTTCTTTGAGGAATTCCTATCTCTTTTAGTGGAAAATTGTATTTGAAGCTCAAAGTATGGGTGCTAGGGGGTGCTCATTTATATTGGGTTGGTCATATTTCAAAGACCTTTTATAATAGTAGACAGAATTAGGGAATATTTTTTAAAGAGGAAAATATATCATGAGTTCATAATGATATCAGATTAGTGAAATCAAATTTAGAATGGTAGTTTTTACTTAAAGCTTTTGCTTTTTAAAAAAATATATTTTATTGATTTTTTTATAGAGAGGAAGGGAGAGAGATAGAGAGCTAGAAACGTCGATGAGAGAGAAACATAGACCAGCTGCCTCTTGCACACCTCCTACCGGGGATGTGCCCATAACCAATGTACATGCCCTTGACCGGAATCGAACCTGGGACCTTTCAGTTCGCAGACCGACGCTCTACCACTGAGCCAAACCGGTTTCGGCAAGCCTTTGCTTTTATATATATATATATATATATATTTTTAAAATGTGTATATTTAAAGAACTTTTTATTGATTTTGAGAGAGAGAGGAAGGGTGATGGATAGAGAGATAGAAACATTGAGGAGAGAGAAACATCTTGCACACCCCCTACTGGGGATCTAGCCTGCAACCGGGGATGTGCCTTGACTGGGAATACAACCTGCAATATTTCAGTGCATGGGGTGACATCCAACCAACTGAACCACACCAGCCAGGGCTGCTTTATATTTTTATTTCTTGTATCTCACAATAGAATTTTAGTCCTGACAAGATTACTTCAATTACTTTTTTATTTCATTCATGTATATAATTTCAGAATAACAGTACCAATATTATTACCAGAAAACGATTACTGAAAAGAGCTCAGGGTTTCTGTCCAGTGTCAAATTATTGTGCCTCTTGCAATAATTTTTTTGTAGTTAAGACACTAATTTGATACTCAATTCATAGGTGTTTTGTTTTGTTTTCATTTTGCTTGCTTTCAAATTGTATGGGTTGATTTTGTTTTCTTTTCCATTTTGATGAAGTTTTGTTTTATAATTTAAAAAATATGTTTACATGGCTCCAAAGACAAATCTGCAAAATAAAGATTCATTTAAAGTGGTCTTTCATCTCTGTAGCCTTTATTGAGTTACAACCCTCCTTCTATGGGTTACAATTGTTATTCATTTTTGCTTATTTTAAGAAACAAAACCATATCTGTATTTCCCCTTTTCTTAGCGGGAAGGTAGCCTAATGTGGACACTGTTCTTCACCTTGTGTGTGTGTGTGTGTTTTTTAATTTTATTTTATTGATTTTTACAGAGAGGAAGGGTGAGGGATACAGAGTTAGAACCATCAATGAGAGAGAAACATCGATTGGCCGCCTCCTGCATGCCCCCCACTAGGGATGTGCCCGCAACCAAGGTACATGTCCTTGACCTGAATCAAACCTCAGGCTGCATCCCCCCTGCCACCTGGCGTTCAGGGCTTGATGGGGACCTCAGGTTGGGGCCCCCCCTCCCCCCTCAGCAGGGCTTGATGGGGAACCTCAGGCCACACCCCTTGCCTGGTAGAGCTTGACATGGGACCTCAGGCCCCGCCCTCCACCCGAACTTCTGGCCTGGAAATTGAGGCTACGCCTTCCATCTAGCTGAGCTTGACAGAGGACCTGAGACTGTGCTTCCCACCAGGCACTGGGCTGGGGGACCTGAGGCTGCGCCCGTGCCTGGAGAGATTTGATGGGGTGGGGCCAGCTGGGTCTAGGTCTCACCCAATAAGGGTGGGGCTGGCCAGGTCTGGGTCTCCTGCTTTTTTGAAGTGTGTGCAGCTGGTGAGCAGGGACTTGACTCCAGGTCTGCAGCGTACCCCCTACTCTGACAGGAGGCAGATTTTCATATATATTTTACTAATTTTTTTTTCATCTCTGTCACTTCTATTATAGAGAAAGGGCAAATAGCAATATTAAAATATTTCCTCTATAGAGCGTCTGTCTGAGGACTGAAAGGTCCCAGGTTTGATTCCAGGCAAGGGCATGTACATTGGTTGCAGGCATATCCCTGGTGGGGTGTGTAGGAGGCAGCTGGTCGATGTCTCTCTCTCATCGATGTTTCTAGCTCTCTATCCCTCTCCTTCCTCTCTGTAAAAAAAATCAATAAAATTTATTTAAAAAATATTTCCTCTAATTAATTCCCACTTAATGTGTATGAATTTTGTGTACCAGACCACTAGTATATAGTATAACCTTAGGTTGTACATACAAATAAAATACCTTTCCTGTTCATTCATGCCTTCTTTCGATAATAATTATTGAGCAACTATTATGTGCCAGATACAACTCTAAGCTTTCCTGAAGCTTACTGTTTGGAAAATGTCCTTTTGTAAGGTGAAAGGGTAGGGATCATGTTTCGTACATTACTTTATTAGTTTGCTAAGGCTTCCATAACAAAATACTACAAACTAGGTGGCTTAAACAGAAATTTATTTCTTCATAGTTCTAAAGGCAATGTCTGAGATCAAGATGTTGGAAATTTAGCCCAGCCAGTGTGGCTCAGTGGTTGAGAGTCTACCTATGAACCAGGAGGTCATGGTTCAATTACTAGTCAGGGCACATGCCTGGGTTGCATTATCTCCAAATGTAGTCACATTCTGAGGTACTGGGAGGACTTCAATGTGTGAATTGGAGGGGAGGATTACAATGCAGTCCATAACAATCACTCAGCATAAATAATAATCTTATAACTTGTTAGTTTTGCCTGTGTAATAATAGTGTTTTCTTCCTAGTACTACGAAGTATTCCTTCGACAGTCCCCATTGGAACCCTGCCTTCAGTTTCATGAAGGTGGACACTGGCGTGAGCTCATAGTCCGCACCAATAGCCAAGGGCACACAATGGCCATCGTTACTTTCCATCCCCAGGAATTAAGTCAGGTGAGTCTCCCAGGATGATACTGGGCAGCTTCCATAGCAACCCCTACTACTACTATGCTGTAGTTGGCTTTTGGAAGTTTCAAAGCAGGTAACAGAAACTGCACATCACAGATATCCATGTGGGTTGTTAAGAGGGGTTGATAATGCTGATAGGATTATCAAAACATGGAGACTGAGGCCAGGTTACCAAATTAATTATCATGTAAGGACCCCTGAGTATTTTTTAGGAACCCTAAGTATTTTCATAAGAATTTTGCCCATGGAAGTTAGTAGGTGCTCTGATAAATCCAAAAACCAATTCAATAGAGACTAGAGTATAATTAAAATTTCATAACCCAAATAATACTTTACATTTGTAATGCACTTGGAACTTTCAAGCATTCACACGTTAAAATATTCCTGTACTTGTGTGATCATCTTAACCCACTTGTGATGTACATGGGAGGAGAGGGATTGTCATCCTTATTTCACAAATGGGCAAATAGAGGCCTAGAAGTACCCAAGGTTACAGAGCCAGGAAATAGCCATGCTAGGGTTTGAAGCCAAGTCATTAATTTCTGGCCTTTTAACTCTATAGCTCCAACATAAGTTGTTTGTGATATATACTTGTGTTAAGCTAATGCTTAGACTCTCTGTAGTGACGTAGGCATTTTAAAATATTCTGAACTCAAATAAAGGAGTTAGTTACCATGCTCATTCTCTTCCTAGCACTTTTCATTCTCCTATCACTCATGTCCTCTGAGGTGGTGTTTGTGAGTGGTTGGGATGTTTGAGATGGAGAAGTATGAAGGGAATTGGAAGGTTACTGCTTCTTTGGGCTGGGACAAAAGCTTAGTTTAGCTCCTGTTTATCGGAATAACTCATACTTTCTTTAAAGGGGCTCGGAATAGAGAAAGTGTGTATCTATGTTATAGGATTTGTCAAAAGCCAGTAAGGAAAGCGATGCTTCTACTGAGATGTGAAATAACTTATTTTTTGTCCTATAGAACATGCTTTATGCTAAGCGTTATTTATAATACAGTTAGAGAAATGTGCCCTCTTGTGTGACCACTGCAGGGCTGATGATTGTTGAGCCAGGAGAGAAAACTTGTCAGAGATGAGTCTTTGCTTGATTCCTGATTTTGTGGTCTGGGCAGGAGGAGCTCTGTGTTCAGAAGGAAACTGTAAAGGAGTTTTTCATCAGAGGTCCAGGAGCAGGCTGTAACTTGACATCACTGTACTTCCAGGAAAGGTAAACCTGGGACAGGCAAACAAGTGCGAGGTGGATGGCTTGCCATCATAGTCTGGGTTGGGGATTGCTGAGGCAGGGCTGCTGCTGATGGTGGATCAGGGCTAAATGGTATTGGCCCTTGTACAGCACGCAGGTCCAGGAACCCAGGCCAGACGGTAGATGAGAGAGTGTGTGCATGCTCCTCCATCGCATGAGAGGGGAACTCCTACAGAGCTCTCAGGGCCATGGCATAGAGCTTGTGCCTCCTAAACGAGATGCTAGGGCTTCCCTCTCCAGCTAGAGACAAAATGGTCTACAATGTCAAGGTGCTTTTTTCTTTCATTCTTTTCCAGCACCAGGACCCGCTGCAGCCATCAGCAGTCCCCCTTCCAGCTCCTTTTTGGGGAACCCCACATCTTTGAAGAGCTCTTGGGCTTGAAGGTCCGCATCTCTCCAGATGCCTTTTTCCAAATTAACACTGCTGGTGCAGAGATGCTCTATCGGACCATAGGAAAGCTGAGTGGAGTGAATTCTAACACCATCCTCCTTGATATCTGCTGTGGAACTGGCAAGTGGTAGCCCAGGGCCGAATCTACATGCTGCCTAGCTCCCAAACTCCACTCACTCAGCACACTAGGTCCCGGGTGGGGAGGTGATGGTGGTAGTGGTGCAGACATAAACTCATTAGTTTGAAGCCCTAAAATACCCTCCTCTCATTCTCTTCCCTAGGTGTGATTGGTCTCTCTCTGGCTAAAAATACCTCCCAGGTCCTTGGGATTGAGTTGGTGGAGCAGGCGGTAGAGGACGCCAGGTGGACTGCAGCCTTCAATGGTACTCTGCTCACAGTCCTGGGAGAAACGAGCAGCTGCAGTTGTTTCTGTGCTATGAAAATGGTTACTTGGGGGGAAAGGGCATATACTGTATCCATGACCTGTGGGGAGAAAGGGAGAGTGTTCTGGAGTGATCAGAGTTGCATCCTGATGGTTTTCTGAAAGAGATCCCAATAGCTAAATCTTTTTTTTTCTATCTAGAGGCGGAGCCTGAGGGAAGAAATAAGCCTAATTGATAGCAGGGGAACTTGTCACAACTTTGGATCATATAGAAGAGCCTCTTGAAATTAGATTCTTGAGGCACCAGAACGTAATACAATAGCTTTCAAACTATTTTTACCAACAGAACCCTTTCTCTGAACAAAATCTTATGCCAAATTGCAATATAGAAAACAGATCCCTTTGTCCCAACATCACACCTTCATACAACTCTGATGTCTCTGTGTGAAAATCTTCAATAACAGAAGAGCACAAGGGTAAAAGTCAAGGTTCTCTTCTTGGGATAGATACTTATATGTTGTGTGAGTCACACAATTGTAAAATAACACTGTCTAGCCTCTCAAGCTGAAATGCCTATTGAGATATTGCAAGGGAAAGCACATTGGAAAAATGAAGCAGGTCCAGAAGTATTTCTTTCATTGTTATTCAGAGGTATGCTAGATCCAAAGGAAGATGGCAGAGCCTTGGTTCCTGTACATTTCTATAAAGCTAAAGCTCCCTGTACCCCACTGTTGGGCATGAGTTTTCATTTATGTCATGTGGGTCTCTCTTCTGCAGGCATCACCAACTGTGAATTCTATGCTGGTCAAGCAGAGAAGATTTTGCCACAGCTGCTAAAGTCAAAGGAAAATGGGCAGTTAATTGTTGCTGTGGTAAACCCAGCCCGGGCAGGACTGCGTAAGGATGAATAGCTTTCCTGCTTAGAACTATTTGGATGTTCCCATGATGTTCCCTAGCTTTGGCCCCATTCACACACCATGTTAACAGTGCCCCCATTTGACTGGCTCTGAACCCCTTTTCTCTATTCCTCACCAGTTTTGGTGCTGGCCAGTTGAGAGTTTGTGATAACCCAGATCATGATAGTTTAATATATATTGATATCTATCTATCTATCTATCTATCTATCTATATATTTTTAATTTATTGATTTTCCACAGAGAGGAAGAGAGAGGGATAGAGAGTTAGAAACATCGATGAGAGAGAATCATTGATCAGCTGCCTCTTGCACACTCACTTCTGGGGATGTGCCGGCAACCAAGGTACATGTCCTTGACCGGAATCAAACATGGGACCTTTTAAATATATTTTATTGATTTTGTACAGAGAGGAAGGGAGAGAGATAGAGAGTTAGAAACATAGATGAGAGAGAGTCATTGATCAGCTGCCTCTTGCACACCTCCTACTGGGGATATGCCCGCAACCAAGGTACATGCCCTTGACTGGAATCGAACCCAGGTCCCTTCAGTCCCCAAGCCGACGCTCTATCCATTGAGCCAAACTGGTTTCGGCCAAACCTGAGACCTTTTAGTCCGCAGGCCGACGCTCTATCCACTGAGCCAAACCGGTTTTGGCGATAGTTTAATTCTATTAATAGCAATGTCTTTCTGCTTTCAGATTACCAGGTGGTTCAAGCCATTCGAAACTGCAGGGCCATCCGCACACTAGTTTTTATTTCCTGCAAGCCCTATGGTGAAACCACTAGGAACATCATTGAGTGAGTCTTGACATCTTTTTAAAGTTATTTTTTTCCTGATGATCTAAGTAATTCATGCTTATTTTGAGGAATTAGGAAAATATAGAGAAGTGTTAACAAATAGAAAAAAGTTATTATACTGCCACTAAGTGTCAATTATAGGGTCCAGTCTTGGGTAAGGCAAGTGAAGCAACTCACTTCTGTGTATAACTTAAAGGATGCCCAAAATCTCAGTAATTGAGATACATTTTTAATGCCATATTTTCAAAAATAAAAATTAGTACACAAATCAATGATGAACAAAATATTAAGATTGTTTAGAAAGGTGATATTCACTCTTCTACTTGCTAAACCTTGCCTCATTCACCTTACACTAATCCTGGCTCTGGTTCCAATAAAACTTTATTGACAAATTTGGCAGCCAGCCTTCAGGCCATAGTTTTCTAATTTGATTTTCCAAAATACTGCATAAAAATAATTACTGAGTTGTTTGTTTGTTTTTGGCATCCTATTAAATTTTGCACCCAAAGTGAATGCCTCTTCCTTCTGGCCCTGGTCAATTATTTTTATTTTTTGAAATAAATCTTCTTATAATCTCTCTCTCTTTTTCTCTCTCTCCCTTTCTCCTTCCTCTTTTTATATAAGTAAAACAATTTATTTTTAATATTCAAACCACATAGGTGGGTATAAAGTGCATATGATATGATTGGATAAAAAAGTGAGATTCAAAGGTAAATGAATTGAAGGGATTAAGCAAATTCAAACGAACAAAAAATCACCCTCACAAACACATACAATAGTATGGTGATTACCAGCGGGAAGGGAGTAGGGGAAGTAGAGGGGATAAATGGTGATGGAAGGAGACTTGCCTTGGGGTGGTGAACACACAGTACAATATACAGATGATGTGTTATAGAATCGTACACCTGAAACCTATATAATTTTATTAACTAATGTCACCCCAATAAATTCAATAAAAATAACTTAAAACTGAAAATAAAAGTAAATGAATTGAGCTTTGAAGTTAGTGAGCCAGAAAAAAGAACAATAGACCTAGAGGAAACTGAAGGAATAAATCAACAATGTTAAAAATATCCAGAAATTAATTAACTACAAACCAAATCCTATGGACTCACAAATAAACAAGTAGGTATTATTGGAAAAATAAAATAAAATAGGTATATAAACCAAATCAAGAATATAAAGAACTAAAACATAAAAATATAGTCTTAAGTGAGAAAATCAGCATAACTAGTAATAAGACATTTTAAAAAATGATCAGAAGTACTTTGTACAACTACTTGCAATACATTTGAAAACCTAGATGGATGATTTTCTGGGAAAATGCAATGGATAATACTAATTCCAGAAGATAGAGTAAATCTAAATAGACCAGTAACCATGGAAACAAAATTGGAAAAGTTGTAAAAGAGCTTCTACCCCAAATCATAGCATGAAGCCCATTTGTTTTCAGTCTTATTTCCTTGTCTACGTACTCTTACACATTTACTCTTCCATTTGTACTTTATTTTTATTATATTCTTTAATTTTAAAAAATATATGATAAAGGCAGCATTTCAAATCAATGGGGAAAAGATGGACTATTCAATAAATGACAATGGACAACTGGCAAGCCATGTGAAAAGAAAAGTTGGATATGTGTCTCACACTGGATACCAAGATATCGATACATTATAAAGGAGATAGAGATTTAAACGTAAAAAGGGAAAACCATAAGTGTACCCTAGGAAATCAAAGCATTTCTTTATTCTTGGAGTGCAGCAGCCCTTTCTAACTATGAATATTCAGAAGCCATATAATAAAAAGTTTTTAAATTTGAAGCACAGAGTATTTTGAATATGTCCAGATTGTTTTTTTTTTCTTTTGTGCCTTGTGATTTTGGTTTTAAGGTATGTTAATAAGTGAAAGTAGCCAGGTGTGCAAAAATTGTTTATGTAATAGTAAACTATCTTTGTGAAGAAAAGGGCAAAGGATGAAGATAGTAGAGATTTGTATTTGTTTATATATGCATAGAGAAACTGAAGTTATATAAGAAACTGATGATAGTAGTTATCTCTGGTAGGGGAAAACTGCAGAGATGGGAGTCACAGGTGGGAAGGAGACTTTACAGTATATTTTTTATGTTATTTAATTTTCAAATAAAATGAAAATATTTACTGTGGGGAGAGGATCCAAGATGGCTGCTCAGGTAGACACCTAACCGCAGCAGCACACAACAATTTCAATGGAATACAACTAAAATGTAGAGTGAACATTGCCCAGAGCTACAGGTAGTCGACTGACTGAAAATTCTACAACAAGAAGGAAAGAGAAAACCAGAAGGAAAATCAGAGGAGCTGAAAAATCCTAAGGTACGGAGACATGCTGCGCGCCCGCACGCGCCTGCAGAGAGGTCGTAGCCGGAGAGGAGGAGAAGGCTGGGTGCCGGCCAGGAGTTCTGTAGCAGGAAGGAAATAAAACCCCCAGCCTGGGCTGAACCCCCGAACCGGCAGCGCTGAGCCCCAGTTACGGGCCAGACCCTGGGGACCCAAGCTCAAGCAGAGGGAGATGGGGCTGTGAGGAGGAGTCCTGGGAGAGCGGCGAAAGGCCGAGCCCCCCAAGTCGTGCACATTGCGCGCAAGGGAAGGAATGTTTACTCTGATGTGGGATTACACTGGAGGGAAGGAAACAGGAGCCCCGGGCAGCTCAGGCAGGGGGAGACGGGGCTGTGTGGCGGAATCCCATGGGAGCGGCGAAAAGCGGAGCCCCCACAGTCGCGTACACTGTGCGCAGAGGACAGTCTGTTGACTCTGTTGCTAGACTCCCCTAGCAGGAAGGAGAAAAAAAAGCTCCAGACTGGAGGAACGCGACGAGGAGCAGGAGCCCCTGCTGGACACCAGCCAGCCAGGCGCCAGCAAGGAACTGGGCAACGGGGCCCCCAGGGGGGGTGCCCCCGAGCCTTCGACCGCTGAGCTTGTGCAATGGAGCCGAAGCGGGGGGCTGCTTCCTGGGCAGTGGTGCCGACCCCGGCAATAGGCTGAAGCAGTGCAGGAGCCCGCCGAGAACAAAGGGGTGCCACAGGCCAACCTGCTGAGCTTCCAGGACAAGGATGAAGAAACCGAAGAAGTTCTCAATGTGAAGAAATCAAGGGAGAGCAAAAGATAGTAAAATTACTTAAGAAAGAAGATCTTGAAAAATCGAAGACTAAGTCAGAACTCAACTCAGCAGCCAACATTGCAACATAAATGCGTTTTTAAAATAATAAATAATAATAATAATAATAATAAAAAGGACAGAATGTTGGAACGGCGGCGGCCAGGCCTAGAGTGGCCAGGCACAAGGCAATGGCAGCTGGGCCTGGAGCAGCAACAGCCAGGCCCCAGAGCAGCAACAGCCAGAACCAGAGCAGCAACAGCCAGGCCTGGAGCAGCCAGACCTGGGGCAGTGGCAGCCAGGCCTGAGGCTGAGGCGACCAAGCCCAGGGTGGCCAGTCCAGGAACACCCAGAACCGGAGTGGCCGGGTCAGGAGCAGCCAGGCCCAGAACAGCAGTAGCCAAGCCCGGAGTATCCAGGCCGTGAGCGGCCAGGCTCAGAGTGGCTGGGCTCCGGGAAGCCAAGCCCAGAGCAGCCGGTTCGGGTGCGGCCAGGCCTGGAGCAGCGGCTGTCAGGCTGGGAGTGGCCAGGCCCGGAGTAGCCGGGTCGGGTGTGGCCAGGCCTGAAGCAGCGGCTGCCAGACTGGGAGCAGCCTGGCCCGGAGCGGCCGGGCCCGGAGCAGCCAGGTCGGGAGCAGCCAGGCCCAGAACAGCAGTAGCCAAGCCCGGAGCATCCAGACCCGGAGCGGCCAGGCCCGGAGCAGCTGGGCCCAGAGCATCCGGGTTGGGTGCGGCCAGGTCCGGAGCAGTGGCTGCTAGGCTGGGAGCGGCCAGGCCCGGAGCAGCCAGGTCAGGTGCGACCAGGCCTGGAGCAGCGGCTGTCAGGCTGGGAGTGGCCAGGCCTGGAGTAGCCAGGTCGGGTGTGGCCAGGCCTGAAGCAGCGGCTGCCAGACTGGGAGCGGCCTGGCCCGGAGCGGCCGGGCCCGGAGCATCCGGGTCCAGAGCAGCCGGGTCGGGTGCGGCCAGGCCCGGAGCAGCAGCAGCCAAGCCCGGAGCAACCAGGTCGGGAGCGGCAGTGGCCAGACCCGGAGCAGCTGGTTGTGGAATGGACCAGAGCAACAGAGGCCAGGCCCGGAGCAGCCAGGCCCGGAACAGCTCACTCCTCGCCTACTCCTGCCCCAAGGCTGCCTCTCAGACATGGCTGGAAACTTTTGGGGGAACTTGAGGGTCTGCTGAATCAAGTGATGAAGGCTTAGGTTGGATATGTTGAATTAGTATAGCGCTGGGGTGTTGATCTGTGAGTGCCTTGTGCGAGGCCTGGATGAGGTTGGTTGACCTATTTGGAAATGTCTTTTGTGTGAAGTGTTTCTTTGGGCATGTGGAGGTATTATTGGTATGAGAAAATGCTAAGTAACTGATTTACTATCTGAAAAGGGATTTACTATCGGGGAAAGGGAGGGAGGAAGAGACTGAACATAAACTGTGCACCTATGGATGAGGACAATGGGGGAGGGGAAGGGGGCGGAGGGTGGGGTGCGAACCTGGTGGAGGGGGAAGAAATGAGGAACCTTTGTAATAATATGAACAATAAAGATTGATTTAAAAAAAATAATAAAAAAAGAAAATATTTACTGTGCAAAACAGGTGTTAAAATCCAATGATTAAGCGTAAACCTAGGATTCTGCTAACATTCATATTGCATAAAACATTAAACATGGCTTCAAAAAGGCAAGAAATATTTATTTTGAAAAGCCAGTAGATGCATATGTTAGAAAAAATTCAGTGAGTCTCTTTTTTACTTCTGACCCCTTGTCCTTCAGATATCACCACTCATACCAGTTTCTTGTATAGTCTACCAGATATTTTGTGACTATACAAGTGTTTGTATGTGTGTGTATACACATACATGTATGTGTACCTACCATCCTT